AGATGGTTGGACAGTGTCTGCGAAGCAACCAACATGAATTTGACCCAACTCCTGGAGGCAGTGGAAGACAGGAGGGCCTGGCGTGCTCTGGTCCATGGGGTCATGAACAGTTGGACATGACTTAATGACTAAACAACAACAAAAACTGAACTATTGACACACCATACAATTCAGATTATCATATCTCAGTTTAGCTAGTGATATATTATGTTTTAGTTTTACATTTATCAGAGTCCTAAAACATGAAGTTTGGTATTTCATCAGTAGATTGTTTTCTGTACATCACAGTTGATGATAATTATGTTTTAATGGGAGAGAGAAGTTTCCATAGGCATGATATTTAATATACAGTATATCACAGGAGTACACCCCCTCAAATTTCATAAATATTTTAGTATAACTCATGTGACAACACTGAAGAAATGACACTTCACTACAATGTAAAGCAGTGAGTATATAGCTTGTATAACAGTGTAAATATGCTGTCCCCTCAAAATAACCCAACACACAGCCATTAATGTCTAAACTGCTGGCAACAAAAGTGAGTACACCCCTAAGTGACAATGTCCAAATTGGACACAAAGTGTCAATATTTTGTATGGTCACCATTATTTTCCAGCACTGCCTTAACCCTCTTAGGCATAGAGTTCACCAGAGCTTCACAGGTTGCCACTGGAGTCCTCTTCCCCTCCTCCATGACGTAATCACAGAGGTGGTGGATGTTAGAGACCTTGCGCACCTCCACCTTCCATTTCAGGATGCCCCACAGATGCTCAATAGGGTTTAGGTCTGGGTACATGTTTGGCCAGTCCATCACCTTTACCCTCGGCTTCTTTAGCAAAGCAGTGGTCATTCTGGAGGTGTGTTTGGGGTCATTATGATGTTGGAATACTGTCCTGCGGCCCAGTCTCTGAAGGGAGGGGATCATGCTCTGCTTCAGTATGTCACAGTACATGTTGGCATTCATGGTTCCCTCAATGAACACTCCCTAGTGCCGGCAGCACTCATGCAGCCCCAGACCATGACATTCCCACCACCATGCTTGACTGTAGGCATGACACACTTGTCTTTATACTCCTCACCTGGTTGCCACCACACATGCTTCACACTATCTGAACCAAATAAGTTTATCTTGGTCTCATCAGACCACAGGACATGGTTCCAGAAATCCATGTCCTTTGTCTGCAGCAAACCATACACGTGCTTTTCTTGTGCATCATCTTTAGAAGAGGCTTCCTTCTGGGATGACAGACCTGGAGACCAATTTGATGCAGTGTGTGGCATATGGTCTGAGCACTGACAGGCTGACCTTCCACCCCTTCAACCTCTGCAGCAATGCTGGCAACACTCATATGTCTATTTTCCAAAGCCAGCTTCTAGATATGACGTTGAGCACGGGCACTCAACTTCTATTAGCTTCTAGATATGACGTTGAGCACGGGCATTCAACTTCTATAGTTGACCATGGCGATGCCTGTTCTGTGTGCAACCTCTCCTGTTAAACTGCTGTATGGTCTTGGCTACCGTGCTGCAGCTCAGTTTTGG